GAGATGACGGGAGGCATCGACGTATGGGCCATGTGGGCTATAAAGCCCCACAAGCACAGCTGGTCACTCAAGCTCTGTCGTTTCCTTCTCCTTGTTGTAAACGGCAGCTAAGGCCTAATGTAACCCTAGGAGAATGTAGTAATGGGGTTATCAATAATAGTTCAGCGGGAGAGACTTCTCTCTCCCGTGGATTAGTCCCAACGAATTGTTGGGGATACCACGTAAATTGCGCGTGTTCTTCATCGTTTGTGCTAGATTTATTATATCCCAAGCTCTCTAATTCATGGTCTAGATAGAGATATCTCAATAACAATATCTAGAATATAGTATACTCCAAAAGTATACCAGTCTGACTCATAACTATACAAAAATTTAAATAAATAGAAAAGCAATTCTTCTCTTTTCTCCACCGAAAAGTCCTTATCCCGCCTCATCCATCCCCGTAATCTAAAAACAACTCACCTCTCTCTATATAACTTCTCTAAATACCTTCTCTTGAACACCAGAACCATCGATTCCATGTAACCACAAACCATCAAGATCACCGCACTCTCCGAATTCAAGCACTCTAACGGAGTCGTGGACTCGTGGCTAGTAAGCATATTCCTCAGAATTCGTGTTAGTAATGTTGGAACAAAATTGTTAACAAGAAGTTAACATTTAGCTAATATTTTGTATTTCAAAAGGTTTGCCTAATAATTTGAAAAGTTTGAAAAACTTTGACTATTAAATAGTATTTATCTTAAATTTAATTTTTTCATAAATTATTATATTATGATGCAACCTTAGAAATTGAAAAGATTGAAGGTATTTATTTGTATAATTTAATGTCTACCGGATTCAAAGTTCCAAATCATGGGAACATTTCGATATTACGTACTCATAAAAATATTTAATTTAGCATACATGACATCTTAATTCACTCAAAATAACTTTTCAATCAAAATAGAAAACCATTTTATGACTCCTCTAAATACCTCCTCTTTAACACCAAAATCATCGACTCCTTGTAACCACAAACAGTGACGTAGTTAGGATTTCATATAAGGTAGGTCCATTTAGAAGAAAAATATACATGATAATTTTTTTTTAACTTTGCTAGTCATTCATGATATAAGCTTATTTTGGAAAATTGTGATAAATTACAATATATTAGTAATCGAAATTGTCATGAATATCACCCTGATTTAGTTAATCGTTCTCTTCTGAATGGTGTTCTTTGTCAAGAACCATTTAGCATCAACAACTCGAGTTTTGAGAAAAGTTTAATAATGAATCTTACGCAAAATAATAGTTTTTCTACAACAACTCAAGATTTAGTTAGTCGTTCGCTTTCGAATGATGTTCTTCGTTAAGAACCGTTTATTATCAATAACTCGAGTTGTGGGAGAGGTTTAATAATATATCTTATACGATATATTAGCACCCATCCTCATAAGAAATTTAACTTATACAGAATTGAAATTCGCACAAATCGAAATACCGTGTGCTTAAGAAATGAGGCCGCCAAGATTCAAACACAAGGCCTTTCGACAAACTATTCTCAATTAGAAGCCCCATAATTTTTTTATATCAATTAACCGTTGTCCTAATTTTACCATTTTCTTTCGAGACTGGACCCACCCTGATCGGGTCTAATTGTACACATTTTACTCTTCATTTCTAGATAGTTTGACTTTGCATTTCGTCGTCTCTTGGCCTATTTTACGCTAGGTTGTGCTATTTTTTTGATACATTTCAGGTCCTAGTGTGTGGGAAGTTCGAGGACGAGTTTCGGGATGATTGGAGTCGATAAAGTGCCAAAAATTGAAGTAAAGTGAAGAACAGTCCAAGGTCAAGGTCAGAGGTCAAATGTCATGGTCGCCAGACCGTGATAATTGATCATTGGACGTGAAGTCTGATGGAAACATGAGGTTTTTGCACCTCACTAGACCTCCGTGTGTTCACGGTCTGATGACTGTGAAAATCATCCCAGGCCGTGATGTGGACCCAAAACGACACCAGTGACTTGTGCTTTGGTCCAATGTCACGGTTAGGGCTCCAATGTCACAGCCGTGACTTCTAACCGTGAAAAGTGACTATCGGGCTCTATAAATAGAAGGCTGCTGGGAGAGAGAAGAGGGAGCTTTTTCTAGAGTTTTAATTTTTAGAATAAAGGAGGGTTTCTAGTGCGAGTTTAGGGTTTCCTCTTCCCATTCTAGAGAGAGAAAGTGTCATTCAAAGGAGGAAGAAGGAGATTGGGCTTGCCCTAAGTTAGAGGATTGAAGGTTTCTTCTTCTCAAAGAAGATTCAAGCATCAAGGAAGACACTCATCTCTTCATGGTTCTTTCTCTCCTTTTTGTTGTTCTCCTTTGCCTAGCTATGGAATAGCCTACCTACTCACTTGGGTATTGTGAATCCTAGTCTAGATGTGTGTTAGGATGTAAGAACTTGATTTTATGATTGAATGTTTATATAATATTTGAGATATTTTTCATGAATGATTGAATGTGCTAGTTTTAATTCATGATTGGGTCATTTTGACCTAGGTGGAGAGAATCTCTTTGTTAAAAGAGGCTTTGAGAAGTTGGATTCTTGGCCAATTTGTGTCACCCACCTAGGCAAATTAGGATAAACCCTTAATGAATAATGATTAGTGAGTATTGCTCGCATTATATCATTGTTGGGTCAAAATTAACCTAGAGGGTGGAAATCCCCCTTTGGACCATAGGGACCTTGATCTTCTAGCCACTTGGGTATCCCTTTTTGGGTTAATCTAGGGCCAAAACCTCAAGTATCGGAGTAGTACCATGATGCCATTATGATTGGTCGCTCTCCGTCGTCACTATTAACTTCCGAAGGTTGGGTCTTGCAACCTTAGTTGATTAGTTAAGAGGGCTAGATTGTCTAGCCTATTGTTGTCATCCTTAGCCGAAAGGTTAAGAGAGTTAGTCTAATAACTTAATGCAACAATCCTTTATTGGTCAACTAAGAGAGTTAGGGTTTTCTCGGTTTGTTCAGTTAAGAGAGCTAGCGCTTCTAGCTTATTGTTGCAATCCTTAGCCGAATGATTAAGAGAGCTAGTTTCCCTAGCATATTGTAGCAATCCTTGATTGATATACTAGGAAGGCTTGTTCCTATCTTGTTGCACCTGCCTCGCGGTATATAAACATATCCTTCAAACTAGGGTTCCATTCTTTGATTCTTAGCACAAGACTAGGGGGAGCAATACCCGTGTGAGGTCCTCTCATATAGAATTCTCCTCGATTTACTTTACTTGTTTGTTTATTTTGTAGTTTTCGTAGTTTTAAACCCAAAATCGTTTGCTAGATAACAACTTAAGCGATTGAAGTAGGGGTACATGGACCGGCCCGGGTTTGACAATTAAACCATACTTGCCCTATACTGCACCCAACTAGAGTTTATGCTTGAGCTCTAGTTGGGATTTAAATCGCGGTGTATCCGTGGCGAGTCACACCCTCCTATACTCTCCCTCCGCCACTGACCACAAACTGTCAAGAACATCGCTCTCTTCGAATTCAAGCACTCTGAGACCGTCATGGCTAGGTTTCTAATAGCCGATTCGTGCTCTGAGTGAGCGTCATCCTCAAAATTCAGGGGATTATTAATCCTTAAAATTAATGAGCGTCAAATCTCATATTGATTAAGAATCGAACATCTAATCTCGAGGTTGTGAATCCAGTTGGAACTCACTACTGCAAATTGGAATCGGAATATTAATCCTCTAGCTCTGGTTGGAGGATCTCGTGGGAAGGGTGCTAGCAAGAGCGAAGAAGCATATGAAACTTTGGGGTGTGATTGAACGACAACATCAGAAAGTATTAATCGTTTCGCGTACGATGATTTATAATCTTTAATCATAAATTAGTAATAAAAATTATTTTAATTGACTTTTGCTAATGTGGCAAAGAGGTAGATGTCATGTATACTTTACAAACGAAAAAAATTAAAAAATCTAATTAAACAAGCCGGACAGATCCATTTCAAACATAAATCCACGAAAGCAAAAGGTTTATTTTTGGAGGGCCTTTACTTTCCCTCGGTTTGGGTCTGGTTCGCAATCAATCATGCACTGTCCCTGACGAGGGGAGGAAGGGAGGTGAGTGGTTGGGAAAAAACGGGAAAAAATAAATGAGAGAAACAAATTCTACCAATTAGATATGGATGGTTTAGTATAGTTTGGTGTTGTTGTAGTTGCATAAGAGGTGTACAACAGAGTTACAACACAATAACTGTATGAAAATAGAAATACGTTAAGTTGATAATTCTAAAAAAATCATAAAAGTTTATAACCAGAAATAAATGCGTATTTAGATACTCCTTTAGGTCTCATTTAGTATCAATGTTGACACTAATACAAAAGTAAGAAAACAATGGGAGGCATAGTATTACATGGCGAGTTATAATTGAGAGATAAAAATATATGAAAATAAAATTGACGACAATAAGATTTTGTTGTGATTTTTTTTTTCCAAAATAGAGAGGAAAAAACTCAGAAAATGAGTTTAGAGAGATTTGATCACATAGTTTTTTGAACAAAATTATTCCAACAACCTGTTATGGTCACCCAAGAAACAGATTTTGAAAACATCACGAAAATTATTTATCATGGTTTCACTGATTTCAACTAATTTATGTCGTGTTTACAATTTTTATTGTCACTAGTGACCACAACATTTGAAAACAGATTTAAACACATATTCGGTCTGTTTTATCATTTAATAAAAAACTAAAACAAAAGAAAAATGACACTAAAAGAGGATTTAAGTTTCAATCAATCACCATTAGATGCTATCCTTGTTCCTGATTCGGTGGCATCTCCGTCGATGGATCTGAATGCCCTTCAATTCGCATTGAAAGGTGATTGATGGATGAGAGAAGGTATAGGGTAGAGCTAAAGAAAGATGAATTCCTTACCCTTGTTGTTTCCGATCAGCCTACTTTTTGGTGGAAAAGCAAGAAAGAAAGTTGTGGACTTGTGGTGGAGAGAGAGACAGAGCAATTGGAGAGAAGAAAACTGAGTGGTTGGAAAAAAGCGGGGATAAATAAATGAAAAGGTAAAAACAAATGATAGCAATCATACTCTTCTTGATAATACTAATAACAATATAACAATATCTTCCAGTCTCCAGTGGCATATAAATAAAACCCCATTGGACAGGTGGAGTGCTAGTTTTTCTTCTACTCCCTGTAGCTTAGCTGCCTCGCACCACCACCACCACACAAAAATCCAAACCTTTCTTCCTCCCCGTCGGCCATGGCGACGGACCATCATGGCAGCAGCCACCACCAGCCTCTCGTCGGCCACCGCTCCACTTCACTCGGCGAGTTCAATTCCGAAGCCAGCGAGGAGCTGGAGAACAAGCTCTCCGACCGCACCTTGCCCCTCATCAACCGCCTCGCCGCCGCCTCCTGGATCGAGTGGAAGCTCCTCTTCCACCTGGCCGCCCCTTCCACCGTCGTCTACGTCACCGGCTTCATGATGTCCATGTCCACCCAGATGTTCTCCGGCCACCTCGGCAACCTCGAGCTCGCCGCCGCCTCCCTAGGCAACAACGGCATCCAGCTCTTCGCCTACGGCATCATGGTACCCTTTCTCCCTCCTTTCCTTTCAGTCGAGCAACTTGGTTCCTTTAATTGATAAATAAATATTATTTGTTTATGGAAAATCGCAGTGGGGCCTGGGGAGCGCGGTGGAGACGCTGTGCGGGCAGGCGTACGGGGCGCAGAAGTACGAGATGATGGGGATCTACCTGCAGCGTTCGTTCGTGCTGCTGTCCCTGGTGGGAGTCGGGGTGAGCGTGATGTACGTGTTCTCCCGGCAGCTCCTGCTGCTGCTGGGGCAGTCGGAGGCGATCGCGACGGCGGCGAGCCTGTACGTGTACGGGCTGATCCCGCAGATCTTCGCGTACGCGGCCAACTTCCCGATCCAGAAGTTCCTGCAGGCGCAGTCGATCGTGATGCCCAACGCCTACATCTCGGTGGTGGTGCTGATCCTTCACATCGGGATGAGCTGGGTCGTGGCCTACAAGCTTGGGATCGGGCTGCTGGGCGCGGCCCTGGCCCTCAGCCTGTCGTGGTGGGTGCTCAGCGGGCTGCAGTTCCTCTACATCGTCAAGAGCGAGACGTGCAGGCACACGTGGACCGGGTTCTCGGTGCAGGCGTTTCATGGATTGTGGGATTTCTTCAAGCTGTCGGTGGCGTCGGGGATTATGCTGGCGCTGGAGCAGTGGTATCTGGATGTGCTCGTTTTGCTCGCCGGGATGCTGGAGAATCCGGAGCTTTCTCTGGATTCGCTATCCATTTGGTGAGTAGTCGGGTTCGGGTCGGGTCGGGTCGGAAAACGACAAGTGGGCTTTCCATTTCCGTTTTTTTTCTTTCTTTCTTTCTTCATTATTATGTCTCTCTACTGATGAACAATCATTGTTGTTGGCAGTACGACGCTGCTGGGTTGGTTCTTTACCATTTCGATGGGGTTCAATGCGGCTGCAAGGTGATTCATTATTTTTCATCAACCTACTTTTTAGTTTTTACTCTTTCACTAGTGTTAATTAATTTTCCTACTTGTGATTAATTATTAATTAATTGATGACAGTGTTCGGGTGAGCAATGAGCTTGGCGCCGCGCATCCCAAATCGGCGGCGTTCTCGGTGGTGATGGTGACCGGAGTTTCCTGCTTGGTGTCGATCGTCCTGGCGATTCTGGTGATGATATATCGTGACGTGATCGGTCTGGCTTTCACCGGCGGGCAGGCCGTGTCGGCGGCGGTGTCCGATCTGTGCCCCTTGCTGGCCGTTTCCATCGTCTTCAATGGAGTTCAACCTGTACTCTCAGGCATGTCAATTATTCTGATTTTTTCTTCTTCTTCCTACTAGTACATTTTGTTCGATTCGTGGATATATATGTTCAATATAATTTTGTTTCCACTAAAAGATTAACGTGCTCCTCTCATCACCATACTATATTCGTATATTCAAAAGGACAAAAGCTTTATTTTCTGCACAGATTGAAGAATACAAACGGAACTCTCTTTCGATCTGTGCGGATCTTTTTAGTGTAGACTGGCTTTTATATTTTGTTGGTATACAAAATGTTGTCTCTCGGGTCGGCGTACAGAATCTTCATTAATTATATACTGTTTCTTGGCGTCTTTTAGCTAGTCGACGTGCGTATATGTTGCCAAAACTTGTCTCGTCTCTTTAGCTGGTCCACTTGTATATATGTTACCAAAAATTTGGTGGGTAGGGTACCGAGTACCGACCTCTCTTCAGTCGTGAACAAAGAATTTAATTTTTGTAGGAGGGGGCTAATAGCAACCATTTTTATTTTCAATGTGTTGCTTGTGATGAGGCGTGCAGGAGTGGCGGTGGGATGTGGATGGCAAGCTTTCGTGGCTTACGTAAATGTGATCTGCTACTACGTTGTTGGAGTCCCGTTGGGCGCTCTTCTGGGTTTCCATTTCAAGATGGGTGCTAAGGTACGTTTTCATTATAATAACCGCCCCCCCATAAATTATTCCTTCTTCTTCTTCTTTTGCTTCTCCAAAACCCTAATCATGGTTTACAGCAATGATTAATTGTATCATCCATGTAATCAGTACCCACACCACATAGGAACATAACATAATCATCTTATTGTATGGACACGATTGCTCACTCAAAATGCCTAACATAAGTGGAAGTTGCGTGCAAAAATTGGAAAGCACGTTCGTTCGTGGCTGTGCTTGGTCCTAATTCCAACACCTAAATAAGGCAAAGGCTGATTCAATAATTGATGGGTCGGAATGGAAAGCCTTTATTAGTAGGTTGCAATGTGTCAGGAATCTGTGGACCAATAACGTACTACTACCTGCCTTATCTTTCTATCTTCTCAATGTACCGTCTTCATTACTGCTAGTCTGTATACAACATTACATTGGGGTCGCCACTTGGAATCAAAGTTTACGGGACGTGGCGATAGTGAGCGCCGCGCCCACTTCATTGATTCGACGACAAAACAATGATGATGAGTTTGTGTTGCTGTGGGTTTTTGTAGGGAATATGGACCGGTTTGCTGAGTGGCACCATATGTCAAACCGTCATCTTGGTTTGGGTTACGTATCGTACCGACTGGAAAAAAGAAGTAAGTTCATAATACTTGTATGATTTATAAATGTCTTGTATAAGCGACCCGTAAACTTTTGGTTAAAAAGTTTGATCATTGGACAAAACAAAATTTCCAAATTTCTTCCTCAAATTTTTACACTTGTAAAGGTAGTTTTGTTTGATAGGACCAATTAATTCACGATGGGTTAACACTTAACAACAATATATGAAATGAAATGCAGGTGGAGATAGCAGAGAAAAGACTGAATAGGTGGGATGACAGCAAGCAAGAACCCTTGCTGCAGTAGTTGTCAAGTGTTCAGCAATTCAAAGATCGATCCATTGCGTGTTTAATCGTATGTTCGAGTTGAAATAAGCACTTGTCTACCACTTCTCTCTCTCTCTGCTCCACGACCATATGAGGAATCAAAGATGCATGGACCAGCGCTAATAAAGTCCAAAGACAAACAGTTTCATGGTTGATGTTGTTGGTTGGCATTGCAGTAGTACTATTGTTGTCGCATTAGGTTGTTCTCTCTTCGTCTATTATTGTCGCATTAGGTTGTTCCACTTCAGAAAAAAAGAAGAAGCTAGATTTGATTCCCGTGGACGACATTGAACCTTCATCCACTTTGTTTTTTGTGTGTGAGTGTATTGATTTCACTGTTTTTCTTCGCTATGATCAAAGTCGTTTTTTTTTTGGCAAAATCTGGACCTCATCTCCATTTCACGAGCATTTATCTGATATTCCTAATTATCTAGTATTCGTTAAATATGTTCTCACTTATGTCAATCATAGTGAGTGGGTTGTTGACATAACTAAAGTTCGGATTGCGAAGAACAAATGGGTTTCGGGAATGGAGCCGTGTGGAGAAACCTAATGATGGTGTGGTGTGGACAATTAGATGCGTAAAATTGGTGCGGTCAAATTAATTTGACAAGTTTTTTTTTTTTTTTTTTTTTTTTTTGACAAACTCTTAAAGTATAATGAAATAGTAAATCCCTGAAGTATCTTTTTATATGTTCTTGTTCAAATCATGAAACTTCAGAGCATAAAAATAATCATACTTTAATTCTTGATAAATGAAAAGTCTCGTTCTCTAAAATCAATTTAAGAATTCATCAGCTACCAATATTCTACAATGCAACCGAGTAAGTGGCACTTCTTGCAAGAATTAGATTAGCGAAGGCGACTGGTGTCACTCGGGAGCAAATCTTTTTGGATTCAACCATCATACTCAACCAGGTCTTGGGGTTGTTTGGGTTTGGTTATACAACCCGGAGCCTTGGATGCTATCTTAGTCTTTGTGTAAATATATTTGATTTTTCGAGTCTTAAACAGGAATGGATTGGCAAGTGTGATTAATGCCTAGAGTTATATTTTGTGAAACTGATGGAGTCATGTATAACAAATATACTGTTGTCCGATATTTGCATTTTTTAGAGAATATGAGTTTCTTTTCTCTCAAAAACTAGGGATTGTTTGGTTTTGCCGATTGTTAAATCTGTTTATTATGATCAATACATGTATTATATTTTACATGTATTGTTGAATTTGATGTATTGTAGATTACAACGTTTGATATATGTATTTGTGTTTTCAATAGGTAAAAAGAAAAGTTACTTTTTAATCAAAATGTCACTTGTATCCCTTCTTTTCAATGCAAAAGATAATTTCTAAAGGTTAAAGTTGAAAGAAAACAATCTCAACTAGACAATCTCAGCTTTTATAATTCATAATGGATGATTGTTGTTGTCACATCAAGTAAACTATACATGTATTGTATGTACATAAAAAAAAAAGTAAAACGATAAATTATAAATAATACAAGCATTGTAACAATCGCAACCAAACAATCATAGAAACCAAACGATCGCTGAGTACTTTATTTGAAACTAGACAAAAGAAGCCGCATTATTTGAAACTATACATGTATTGTCTGTGCATAAAAAATAGAAAACAATGAATTATCAACAATACAAGTATTGTAACAATCACAATCAAACAATCACATAAACCAAACGATCCCTAATACTTTATTTGAAACTAGACAAAAGAAGCCACATTACACTTCTTCTGTGTTGCGGGTACGATTAGGGGTTAAATGACAGTTTAGTATTTTATTAGTTTTAGTCTATTAGGGTTTCGGGTTAGAGTTTATATAATGTACTTAAGTCATTCAGTTATGAATCAATGAAAAATCTATCAAAGTATCGTCTTAGAATTATCCATTTTCTCTCTAGTCTCTTTCAGACATAATAATTCCAATTCTAAATCACCCTATTCTGTCCAATTCTCTTCTCAACCAATCTAAATCTCTTTCTAAATTCTATTTTGTTACGTTAATTCGGGTACCAAGATACCAATAACCGTGCCTAAAACATTCTGCAATCACTATAGAGAGGGGGGGGGGGGGGGGGGGTTTGGGGGTTGTGTTAATGTATGCTCTATTTACACCCATATGGATTCTGGTTTGTACTTCCTCTAGTCTCATAATTGCGTTTCTTTTTTCCCCTTATTTTTCTTTTCAGTTCACAATGGAGATCTATTATTTAATCCATGTTCTCAATACAGGCTTTCCTAGCCGACCATGAAAGGGCTTTAAAGAGCTTTCCGGGGATGAATAAATAACTAAAGAAGACTCTTAAAAAGGTGACCGCAGCTTTGCTTCTCCAAGGGTATGCAGAAGATCATGTTTTCTTGGTTACTTTATGTTGCTTCTATGATATATTGACTCATGCATCTGTAAATTGAGAGATATATATTACCTCAATCCTGATTAAGGAACGATTAATTTTTGGTCCCTAAGTATCATTAAAGTAGCTGTGAAGAATATATATGTTGATAGCCAAATTTATGGGTTTCAGATAAAAGATTTTGTGACTTAATTATTTGGTCGGTGAGAGGAAATGAAGTGTTAGTTTTTGTATTAATTGTAACCAATTATGTTTTTTGCGACAATTAAAGCGAATATCTTATAGCTAATTACTTTGCTAACAAAAATTATTTTATAACCAATATCACTTTTTGTCACAAAACCATCATGTATTGTGACTAAAACAAAATTTTCGTTTCATAAAATATTTTTCCTAACGGGGCAAATGTGACCAAAGTTTTTATCAAAATAATTTGGTCACTAAATATGTGTGCGACCATATTTTGCAGATTACCGACCATCAACAATAGTTATTGGTTTTGTTTCATGAGGTTGCGTTAAGGATTTTAAGATCTACAGTTTCGTATATTTGTATGGTCAACTTTTTGAAACATAAAGTATTATGGTGTATTGGTACATGTTGGTTGTTTGGAATGTAATTGTTTATATTTAGTTGAAGGATAAAGGATATTGAGTTGATTATATGCTAAAATATATTTATAGACAACGCCCTTATATGAAATTTTTGTATCTAAGAATAATACTAGAAAATGCTCAGAAAATCGTTCTTTGGTCTTTCCACAAAAATATCATTTTCACTGGTGGAGTTAGGTTGAAATTAGGAGGGGCTGTAGCCTCCTCAATTTTGATGCATAAGCAAAATTACATGTAAATTGTGCACATATTTAGAAATTAGAATAGTCAATAAGGCTTTAGCTCCACTCCTCTAATTACGACAATTCACGTCAGCACCCTGTTTGGATTTCTGGCTCCGTCACTGATATTTTTATGATAATGTTTTTTAGTAATAATAATTTCAGAGTTATAATTCACTTCTACATATTCAATGTTAAAGCTCAATAAGTAATATTCGAACTGGTGGTATTTGGTTTTTAATTTTAAGTTTATCTTCCATCACAAGATTAACATAAATTTAGTTATTAAATTCTAGTTGAAATAATGTAAATATGAAAAAAATATCAAACAAAGAATATATAATTACGTGAAATCTATTTGGTGCAACTGATTATGATTTTTATTCGAACCCTTTCCCACATCTCAATAATTGTGGTCCAAACTCCAAACCAATGGTCCCGAATTTAAAAGTTTCAGCTAACAATTGCTGGTGCGGGGAGGATGAGATTGCGGCATCCGTGGGCTTAATGTACCAATGGGTAATGTCACATGTGGCCGATGACATGGCGCCAACAAGGTGACAACAAGGCGGCTGCACATGTGGCATGTATGGAAGACTAGTAGCATAGAGATGCTCCTAGGATTCTCCACCTAAATGAGAGCTTAATGGTGCACTTATGGGCTACATTATGGGTAGCATTATTAGGGTGCATTATGGGGGGACTTTATGGGGTGTATTGATGTAGAGGGACCATTATGAGGGGCATTGATGCCTTGTATGAGGAGAGGCCTATATAAGGAGTCATCTCCCTCACTTGTATCTCATCCATCATTTTTGTGAGCAATACAACTATAGAGTTTCTCCCATCTTCTTGTGTCTTGTTCTTGTGAGTTGAGTGAGTTTGAGAGCTTGTGAGAAGGCTGCCTAGCTTCTCTAACGGAACTGAGAGTTAGGGCCGCACGACCAAGAGTAAGGCCGTGACAGTTGGTATCAAAGCCTGGTTCTGAAAGAAGAACTGGTGTCCTCACTCCCCAAGAAGGAAGATAAGAAAGAGCGAGAACCTCACCAAAGATGGCTGGATCAGAAGTCCATGACGATGCGGAGAAGCCACGGGGAAGAGATCGCACTCCGGGCGGAAGGTCAAAAGGTACGTCGAGCACTCATGATCCTCTCAAGTCTCTAGAGAGGCGAGTCTCGAGGATGGAGGTGAAGCTTTCCGAAGATGTCACCGTCATGGAGGATTTGGGAGCTAACTTCACCCAAATCCAAGGCGATGTTCAAAGTGTGGCGGCTAGAGTGACGAGTTTGGAGGTTGGCAATGAAGGGCTTCGAGATGAGCTCATGGCCCTCATCAAAAACACCATCTCCACTGCCATGAACGATGCCATTGAGCTAATGAAGGAGGCGGCTGCTGCGGAGGTGACCGTCTTGAAGGAGGAGGTTGCGGAGCTCAAAAGCGAGGTGACGCTTGTGAAGAGGGCCATGGCTAACGGACCTGCCATCGCACAACCTGCCTCAACCATGGAGATTCCAAGACCAAAGAGCTTTCAAGGGTCGAGGAATGCAAGGGAGTTAGAGAACTTCCTATGGAGCTTGGAGCAATACTTTGAAGCTTCGGGTATTCGAGATGAGAATACCAAGGTAAAAACTGCACCTCTTTACTTGAGTGATGTTGCTATGCTGTGGTGGAGAAGGACCCAAGGCGATATCAATAAAGGGACGTGCGTGATGGAGTCATGGGATGACTTCAAGAGGGAGATCAAGAGGCAATTCTACCCAGAGAATGTTGAGTTTGAAGCCCGGTCGATACTAAGGAGGCTTGCTCACGAAGGAGAGATTCGAGGGTATGTGAAGGAGTTTTCTGAATTGTTGCTCGAGATCCCCGACTACACCGACAAGGAGGCCATGTTCACCTTCCTTGACGGCCTCCAACCATGGGCGAAGTTGGAGCTACAACGGCGAGGCGTGCAAAGTCTTGCCGAGGCAATGGCGATTGCCGAGTCCCTAGTCGAGTACCACGAGCCGGAGGAACGTGTGGAGTTCGGAGGCAATGGAGGTGGACGCGACTATGACAGAGACACACGAAGGCGTGGTAGACTGGACCAAGGAGGTAGTCATAAGGTTGAGAAACCACTTACTTGCTTCCTTTGTGATGGTCCGCATCGTGTGAGAGATTGCCCAAGAAAGCACAAGTTGTCGGCAATGAAGGCCGTACTAGCAGAGTGCTCGAGCTCGGAAGAGGAAGAGGAGGCGACTCCAAGAGTGGAGCCCCATGTCGCGAAGATTGGTTGCATGAAGAGATTGAGCGCCATCAAGCGGACGGAAGAGCCTCCCCATCCTGAGCAACACGGTCAATGCTTCGTAGAGGCAAAGCTCAACCAAAGGAAGACAAAAGCCTTGGTTGATACCGGGGCAAGCTGCAACCTTCTCGACGTAGATGAAGCGCGGAGGCTGG